TTTCCAGCGCCACACGCGGCGGGGTACCTGACCGCGCCGCCGGCCAGCATTCCAGCGCAGCCGCCGCCAATTGACTGACCGCATATCGCTTATACAGAACTCACTACAAAGGACACTCGTCAACTATGATATAGTTCTATTCAAATATCATGTCTGCTCTAAGTCAGCCGTAACATTTTACTCCCGTTACATCTTAATTTTTACGAAGTTAAGAGCCGCCGATATATCTGAAAAGGACTATACTAAGTTTTACATTCCTTAAAATTATAGTCTAACCAATATAGCATCCTTGTAGCGCTATAATCTCCTTTGATATCAACAATCTACGTCGTACGTCTAATTAATTTACGTCGTTTATAAAGTAAATTCAATATTTTAGTTTTATCCTACGTTTATTGTGTTTTTTTACTGCTTACAATAAAATGCTTTAATAATTCGACAATCAAATGTTGTAAGAATCGATTTTCTCTTTTTAATAAAATTGCTTTTACGACATAAGTTCCATAGATTTGCAATATGGCGAGGTTTTCTGTTTTTGTAGCTACATTATACATATGTATAGTTTTTCATTAAATTGATCCCAGTGATATTAAAAGTCCTTTAAAATATTTTTTTTTGTAAAAGCGAAGTATCGATGAGCGACATCTGTGATTTTTCAAATAAAACTCGGGCGTCAACTTGCCTTATAAAAGGTTTCGATGGTTTTGTTTCAAGAAGTTGATTAACTCACTACTTATGCAATCTAAGTACTATTAGTACTTTTTTCTATTATTTATCACAATAATATTAAGCATAGCTTCAAACATAGCGTTATTCGTATTTTAAAATATTTGATAAGTTGTAAAAAATGTTTTAAATGCGAATTTTAAATTTTAAATCATAAAAAAATGCTTAGAACTAGGTTAGCAATATACAATTTTGCAATTACTCCTTATTTCTGTATTTCCTAACTTTGGCTATTATTTTATAAATACTCATATCACAATAACTTTAAATTATACATTTAATATGAAAAATATATTCAGTTATTTTTAAATAATTTGAATCTGCAATTTGTTTAAAATAACTGAATTTATGAGTTTATTAGAAATAATGTTTAAATAATAAAATGTACATTAATATACAAGAAACGCAGGGATATAACGTTGTATGAGTAGTAAATGTTAAGGTCGTTTTTAAGTTAGTTATAATAAAATTAATATATACTGCCTCTAGTACTTTTAAAATTACGCAAGATTTAAGACCGTTTCCACTAATCGCAGATACAGTATACAGTTAATTAAATTGAAATATCTATGTGATACCGATAAAAAAATTACCTACTTTTAGACAACTTATTTAATTGATACTGTCGCTTTAAACTCAGAGCAACACTTCTCTCCAGGACTCTCGATGCGCGCCAATCTATCCATACTTGTAGTGACATTGACAGCTGTCAGCTAGGGACGTGACGTTTATGCCGATAATCTAGAGTTGCGCCAATTCTACAGCACGGTACTAATTTTATTCCTAACACTACACATTAAGTTAGTGTTAACTAAAAAATACAGCAAAGACGTGTTTCGCGAAATCACCGAATTTGCCCCAAGCTTGTTCGATTTTGATTGGACTTTTACTAGAACTTTCTAAAGTGACAAGCTATTTTTCAATTCCACGCTTAATAATTCGCAAACAATTATTTAAATCCAATTGCTTTTATTTGGCAGTTTTTTTTCTTCTTACTTAAAAATTTAACACGCAACATATTGTATTTTGCAGTGTAAATGGTCCTTAATCTTGAATAGAAAATCTTAAACATATAATCAAATAATACGCTAAAATTAGTAGTTCCACTTTTATTTACAGATAGTATAAACAAATACATTTATTATTATTAAGGCTTTCTGTAGTTTGTATGTAAATATCAATATATGTGTTTTATTCATAATATTTCACTGCGTAGGGTTAATAGTATATATATATATATATTTATGTAGATATACGAATTTTATCCACTATATTAATGCTATGTAATATAGGTTATTAAAAAAATTTTGAATTAAATGTTTGAATATTTTTGGCGCTTGATTTGACACTGACAGTTCGGCGCCATTTTAGATTTAGGGTTATCAGTTAAAACTCTTGATAATATGCCTTATGTTTATAATTTTACTTTTTTTATTTAAATTATTTGAAGTACTTGTTTTTGTTATTCTAATGCATATAAAATGCAAATATTTAATATTTTCAATAAATGCGTTATAATCATTGATATTAATGCATTATATTGCGTTATATATAAAAAAATATGCTTAAAAATAGTCGTTATCCTTAGCAGACTAAGTAAAATGTATGTTTTTTTCCTAGCTGCTTGTAAAATAGATCTCTCTGATAAAATATACTAAAATTATGTTTATTAAGATCCGTAAGGTTTCTATTATTAGTAAGGTTATGAGCACTTATATCGCGTAAGAATTAATTATAAATTTTTTTAAGTCAATTCTTTTCTAACTATTAATATTTTTCAATATACTAAGATAACAGTCTTTTGTTTATAGTCTGATCAGAAATATAAAATGCCATCGCCATATTGCGGAAAAACTTGGCACTAATTCCTTAGCGTATGTTAGAAAGTGTTGATTGAAGCGCCCTCAGGCCAGGATTTTTGTATTCTTGGTTAGGCTATACGAAAAAACTGTTTAAATTTAAATGTTTTTTGTTAGTAATTTAGTATTTACATAGAAAATGTATGTATTGTCGTATTTATCAAGCATACATGGTTAATATATTTTGTATATTATTACTAGTGTTAATTCTTGCCATTTAAGTCGGATATCAGTTCATTTTATATAAAGAATTTAAACGCAACGAAAGAATTAAAACAAAATTTTACATATATTAAATTCATTTTGTGTTACAATAATGTCAGATTAAATAGTTTTTGAAAATACCATAAACATTACTTAATATTTCATTTCGAAAAATGCGATATTTTATAGTTGATAAGGTATTATTATTTTTACAAGTTACAATATTGCTATACGTGCGCGATAACATGATGTATATCCTATGACGTAATAGGCTTTCATGCATCGTAGATTAAATGTACAATAAAATATGTAACCGTAGATTAGCGAAACAATACAGGTCTTTTGTCTCATTTTATTAAAAGAGAGTGAGTGGGATAAAATGAATAATTGGTACACGTATAGTAATTGTAAGAAGCTAGCATTACTTATGACGGCTTATTAGGGTATGTACACACGCAACGCTGTATTATAAGTTAGTGTGATATTAAATATATTTAGTGTTTTTTATCGTTTTTGTAAAGGTTCTTTATTGATAGGAATAGCAATATTTGAAAAACAGTTTCGTTTTCCCATTTTTCTTTATAGATTTGTGTTCTGTGGATTAAGATAAAAACCCTTGAATTTTCAAAATGGCGGCTTCTACACATTGTCATATGGGCGTCGCTAGAGTACGAGTAAGGAAGTTCTATTATAGAGAATAGAAAAATGTTAAATACAAAATACTTCGAATACGATCATTTTAATGGCCTCTAGACCTAGTTTAATTACCAGCTGGCGACGCCTTTACATCATCGTATCAATGCCGAAATAAGTTTTACTAAGAAACATAGGACTTTTCTAGAAATTGCAATAATTATTAACGTTTACTTTCCTTAACATGTTTGATGCCACAAGTTTTGTATAAAAGTAAGTGGCATTTAACTTGTTAACTTTGCCCACTTAAGACGTCCGGTTTTAAATGTCCCAGATCTAACTAGATATGTTAGAATTCGTTTATTACTTATGATTAATATACGTTTGGTAATGTGTGTGAGTTTCGTGTAATTCAATTACAAAATGTTTGGTACGCCGAGACTGGTATTCCAACACGTGTTTGAATATTTAATATTTTTATATTTAGCGCTAAGATATCAATTGTATAATATATGGAATTAATATACAATTTTACGTGTTTCATTGTATATTACGTTTGCCCCTTTTTTAACCTTTACAGGATTTTGAAGCAAAACTATGACTCCTTCATCTTTCTTAATACGTATTAACTTAGTAGATCTACTGATGCAAAATTCCAAATTTCTAAGCCCGGTAATTCGTGAGCCGATTTTTCGGTTACCCTTATTGTTTGTGTTCGTGATATCTACTAATAACGAAAAACGCATTTAAAAGTTTTTATCTGTCTGTTTGCTCTAGTATAGGCTACTTTTTTTAAAATACCGAACTGTCAAAATGGCGAGTGGACCGCTATCTCTGGAATGGATGGACTGATTTGGACGGAACTTTGACTACGGTAGCTAGTAAAACGTAGATGCACGCGGGAATGTTATAGACGACTATTTTTTTTATTTCACGCTAACGAAGTTTGCGGGGGACAGCTCGTCATAAATGAAATAAAACCCACAAATCTTATTACATGTTAATTTATAATTACTGTACAAATATTTTACAATGTTGCAGTGACATCGCGTTGTCCCGCAGCGTTACTCGTCACGTCGCCTGTCACGCGGTCTGTGTGACCGGTGGCGAGGTGTAGCGGTTGCTGAGCGCGCTCGGACGCTCGTATTTAAGACTTCGTTCCCATTCTTCCTTGCCACTGTGTTTAAGAAAACATGAAGATGAAGAATAAAAAATATCTAGACCAGACATAGTAAACAAAATTTTTTCAGCCATATTTTTTTAAAAAGTACTATATCAGTTATCAAGTTTAGTATACCACCTCGTGTCTTTGCATTGACTTTTTGATAAACCATTTTACGAAAATATAAGTTCCATCTTTTGTTAATCTTACTAATATTGTAAATGCGAAAATTTAGATAGATGTTTATTAGCATTTGTAGCCTTAACGGCTGAACGGATCTCATTGAATTTTGGTATAGTTGTAGCGGATAGTCTGGAAGAACATATAGATTACACACTTTTGTTTTTTAATATCCACTCGTGGGCAAAAGCTAGTAAACTATATATTTTTAATCTCTGCATCTAGATAAATAGAGCAATACTATATGTAAAGTATACTTGAGGAGGAGTGTGTTGTGTGGCGGTGGCGCGGTGTGGGGGGCAGCGGGGGACGGCGGGTCTGCGGGCAGGTCCAGTGTGAGGTAGTGGTCGGATGCGGCGGCGGAGAGCAGCGCGTCGAGCCTCTCCCGCAGCTGCGCGAACGTCGGCCGCTCGTTTGGCCGCACGCGCCAACAGCCCATTATCACCTCGTAACTAAACCGCAGATATATATGGATTATTCCCAACCGTCACCCCGCTCTGTCCTTACGTGGGGACAGGTGACAATATAAAGTTTTATCCGTCCCACCTTTTGCGTCGAGGGAACGGTTGGAACTTGATTTATTTCTTAGCAGTTCCATCTATCACCTTAGTGGTAATAGTAGGACTAAAAAGACGGATGGAACTTTTCATTCTCAACTGTCCTCACGTGGGGACAGAGCGGGGTGACGGTTGGGGATAATCCAGAAATATGAGGACAGAAAATAATGAACTAAGTGCCTGTCCCACCACTGGCTGATAGATGCTCGGATAGCTTATAAATGACGTCACTGTCAGATAAGGGAACAAAATCCGATATTTCCATCATATATTTTTCACATTCAATTGTTATCAGAAAATTTACAATACAGTAGGACGGACAATAATACTCTTTAAGAAAGGAGTTTATTAAAAAATTAAGCAAGAAAACGACAATCTCAAACCTTAAAGTACAGTCCATTCTTTGAAATTGGTCCTTCGAGTTGGACATACCATATATTAATTAGCCTTTATTAATTAGCTGATAAATATATTTAAAGACCAACATACAGTTGCGGGGTGCAGTTGGCGGGGCGCGGCATGCGGTACCCGGCGCGCAGCAGTCGCGGCAAGCGCGCGGCCGCCACCGCGGGGTACGGCGCGCCGCCCACAGACAACACCTCCCACATCACCACGCCGAACGACCATCTGCAAGAACATTTATTAACACTTAGATTACTATTATTAACCCTAAACTTAGTATTAGATACCCGAAGTTTCAAATTTATAAATCGCTTGGGCATCATCACGGTAAGGAGTAAAAGGTTAGCATGGTATGGGCATGTTATGAGGATGAATCGCATTTAACAAGGAGAACGTTAGTTATGCATGTGGAGGGGTACACCGGTAGAGGTAGATCTAGAAAGAGATGGATGGATTGCGTGAAAGGTGACATGATCAAGAAGGAAGTGATGACTGAAATGACGTATGATAGAGTTATTTGGAGGACAAAAACCTGTGACGCCGACCTTACGGAGTAGGATAAAGAGGAAGATAATGATCTACAATCGATCTTATTTTAACATTAGGCTGTTATATGTTACCTTTGACTGATATTTTTAAGTTAGAAAACAAAAAGGAACATATCACGACGATATATAAAAAAATCGTTTTGATTTTTTTACTATTTTTCCCAATAAGTAAAACAGTAAAGGGTGCGTTTATACACTTTTTAATATGATTTAAAAATCAGGCTTTTAAGAGTTGAACCCAAAAGAGACTACGATATTGTTCTTCAATCTATAATTATAGAAAATGAGGGATCATTACTTACACATCACTATGAGTAGTAAATATTCGATGTGTCAAAGATTCCAGTGCCATCCACTTTATAGGTAACTTTCCATTCCCCTTTTGCTTGTACAGGTTCTGTTGGTAGACGTCACGCGAAAGACCGAAGTCTGCAATTTTCAGCGTCTTGTCGCCGGTCACCAGAACATTCCTCGCCGCAAGATCTCTGTGCACAACTCTGTTGGAAGCGAGGAACTCCATTCCCATCGCGATTTGTCGACAGAACGAGAGGAGGTCGAGGAATGTGAGCTCGTCGCAGACGTCCTGCAAGTCGTACAGCTTGTTGACGACAGCCTTGCTTTGGTCGCAGTCTTCTTCTTTGAACAAACTCGTCAGATGTTCCAGATTGTCTTTGGTGTTGTAGTATCTTGCGTTGCGTTTCGTTATCATCACATCCCAGGAGTTCCTGAAATTGTATACTTTTAAAACCTTCATTACTTAAAGCTTATTTTGTTTGTAGTGTGAAGGTGTACCTTAGGAATGTGAGCAGGTCTCCGCGGCTGCAGTACTCGACGACGATGAGCGGCGTGCGGCCGCTGCAGCAGCCCAGCAGGCTGACCACGTGCGCGTGCGACCCCACGCTCTTCATCAGCTCCATTTCCGCGCGGAACGACCGCAACTCCTCCGCCGTCGGGTACTCTACGCAACGACTAGAAATTCTCATCTGATGACTCAATAACAATATATTAGTTCTTAATTATTACAAGGGAACGGAAATTATTGCTCGGATGGAGGCTACGAAGGACGACAATAAGAGTAGGGCGTCCTCCAACAAGGTGGACTTACGACTTCGTGCGTGCGGCGGAATGTCGTTGGATGGGGAAAGCGGAGGACCGCATTCTGTGGAAGGTATTAGGAAAGGCCTATGACTAACAATGGACAGATAAAGGCTGATGATGATGAACAGCTACATGACCCAGAGTATAGTTACATGTAAAGTAGTTTTTGTTTTTCTACATTTTACGATTATTTGCCCTGCCCTGGTGACGCCAATAGGAAGATCCGTAATTTTACAACTACTTTTAAAATATCTTTTCCCTTTTATGTGGTTTTTAGAGACGTTAGTGTTTAGACAACTGTAATATCTACCTTTGAGCATTTTGACGGCGACTTGTGTGGCGGGCGCGAGCGTGGCGCGGCGCACGCGCCCGAACGCGCCCTCGCCCACCAGCTCGTGCAGCGCGAGCCGCGCCGCGCTCACCTCCCATCTGTCACCTCCCGCCTCCGCCTCCACCTCCGCCCCCGCCTCCGCCCCCGCCTCCGGCGCCACCTCCGGCACCACCTCCTTGTACAGCTTGTCCTTCAGATCCTGATAGTTCATTGTGTTTATACTGTTGCACTTGTTAATTTATGGAAGACCCTTTTGTAAATTGAATACTAGCTGTTACTTGGGATTCCTCCCGCGGGTAATTAAAAATATAGCCTATCTTACTCACAGATAAATTACCGTTTAAATAAGAAAGAATTTTTGAAATCGGACAAATAGTTTTTACGTGAATCGAATACTTACAAAAATCCAAATATACAAATCTTTCTACTTCATAATATTTGTATAAATACAGATAAGAGCGTAGTAATTAGGAGATCATTTACGACTACAATGCGGTGTTAAGTTCACAGTCTTCCCCCCCCCCTTTTGTATAGGAAAATAGAATTACTAAATAATCAAATTTGCCTACTGTGGCCATTACCAGATTAACTATTATAACTTAAGATAACAAGTATTCTTTTAATTTTCTGTTATGTATAATTTAAGTTACTGTCAAAGTTTTTAATTTTCGTACAATCTTTTTGGTTTAATAAATATTTTTATTTTTATTTTTTATTTTCACAGTTGCAAAAGAAGCTGAGTAGGCTCAATTTGTCCAGTTAAGCTAAATTCTATCTGATGGGATACATACCTGAAAATATTCGAACTTGTCTTTATCGGAGCGTCTCTTGTTGAGGTAGAGGAGCGCGGAGACTGCGACGACGAACAGCAGCGCGCTCAGCCACGCCGCGCACACCGCCACGCCCACGCTCACGGGGTGCGCCACACCTGACAAAAAACATAACCTATTCTATTCTATTTCTTGTTTATGGCTCTCCTTCAGCTGGGCCAGTGTCAAGTGTTTGTGGTTTTATTCTAATTTGGGAGAAACTGGCAACAAAACTCTCCTTATGGAGATGTTCGTTGGTGCACAAGTGGTTTAAAGATTTTAAACTATTGAATTATATAAAAAACGTTTTAATTCCACGCGGACGGAGTCGCGGCCAAAAGCTATAAGAAATAAGATTAGTTGTCACGATATTTACAAGACTTTTCGAGAACATTTCATTATACGTATAGGCGATAGAAATCATTTAACACGAATAACTATTTTTTTTTTTCACTTTATGACTTACGTGGTAAATATCCTTGTTGGTTGACGAACAGCTGCTTCCCTGAAGTCGATGACAACGTCACGTTAAATGCACCTTCACTAAAAACCTCATCAAATACCGCTTCAGTTGAGTTCTGTAACACAAAGTATCAAAAACAAAATAATATAAATACCAAAATATATAGTTAGTCCAGATTTATCCAATCTGTTTGAATAGACCATCATTCGCAGAACAAAGAACAGTTTTTACGTCAAATTTATCCTATGTATAACTTCGTCAAATACAGCTAAATATATAACACGACCAATTTAAGAAGTAACTCACCCCTGGTATAATAATGGTGTAGATAGAATCAGCGTATAAGGTAGCATTATACAGGTCGGGCGAGTGCGCGGCGCGCGGCCAGCTCGCCCGCACTCTCCACCCACCGTTCTCACCTTCTGACACTTTCACAGTCATATTGCTTGACTTCTCACCTATTATAAACAATAATAATAATAAACCCTCATGTGTGCAGAATAAGGAAATATTCTCCTAGAATCCCTTATGGTTTAGATATACTCGTTAGATTCTATGAAAGACCTTAAATGAGTGAACAATGTCACAAAATATAATTGAAACAGAGAAAATAGAATGTTGAAAGGTGTCTATTAAGAAAATGGATCTGAATGTTGGGCAGTAAAAGGTAGGGATGAAAGGAGAATACATGTAGCGAAAATGCGAATGTTAAGATGGATGTGTGGGGTAACACGATTGGATAAGATACGAAATGAGTACATTAGAGGAAGTTTGAGAGTAGTCCTAGTGGTTGAAAAAAAAGGAGTAAAAGGTTAGAGTGGTATGGGCATGTAATGAGAAGGGATGAATCGCATGTAACAAGAAGGACGTTAGTTATGAATGTGAAGGGGTACACCGGTAGAGGTAGACCTAGAAAGAGATGGATGGATTGCGTGAAAGGTGACATGATCAAGAAGGGAGTGATGACTAAAATGACGGATGATAGAGTGCTTTGGAAGACGAAAGCCTTACGGGAGTAGGATAAGGCAGGGGAGATGATGATGATGATGTGTTTATTAGGAAAAATGTTTGGGAATCTGTGCTTTTGTTGTGGAATTTGCTCTTTTCTCCCTTCACCGAATGTTTATTCTTAGCATCGGCAATTTAAACTCACTTGGGAAATATCCCTCGCTGCTGGTGTACGCTGTGCCAGTGGTCGATGTCGACATCAAACTTATATTAAAAAGACCTTCACCGTATACCTCGTCAAATATTACTTCAGTATTATTCTGTAAGGGAAACAATAAAATTTAACTAAACATTCCACACAAGTATAAGACATATGGACTCTCATTTTCACAGTACATGTATATTTAAACTAACATAATCAGTACTTTAGTTAATATTTGTGTGTATTGAAGTAACTCAAAATTTATTACGCCGATTTCAAAATTCTTACACCATTAAAAAGCTACGGTATCCGTGAGTTACATGGGCTATGATTTCTTATTATTTTTTTTAATATCACGCGGGCAAAGTGGCGAGCAACAACTAGTTAGTTAAATACGAAACAAACCCCCCTTACCCCTGGAACCACCATATTATATACAGTATCAGCGTAAAGTGTCGCGTTGTACTGTAATGGTGCGGTGCGCGGCCGAGCCCAGCGCACCCGAACGCGCCACCCGCTCTCTGCTTCACCAATCTCCATAGACAAATTGCTTATTTTCTCCAATACTGAAAAAGATATAGAATCTTTACAGTCTGTAGTATTCATAAGTGGCTAAACAAATTGCTTTATGCATAACGTCAATCAGTGAACCACAGTGGAGATACATCGAAAGAGATGGTCTAAAGAGAGATCTTTACTTTTTCTCTTTTTTTTTCTTACTGACTTATTAACTTCTTTTACATTGTAATAGCTGAATATGTTGCCGTCTAATGATGTATAGTATTTTAATTAATCCGATGAGCTGGATCTTCGCGACACAGGCTGTGCCTAGTGCGACGGGATCCTGGGTCAATTCTTTGTAACAAATTTAAAGTTAAATAAATGAATTTATTTATTTATTATTATTTATTACTAATAACAATGATAGAGAGAAAAAACAAAAAAAAGTAAGTTTCATGTAAATGCAACATTGAGCCAAAATTAGATCGACCAGTCGTGGTTAGTTTAGTACTCGGCCCTCGGCCGACTAGTAACTAGTTTATACTGATATTATAAAGAGGAAAAAATTGTACTTTTGTGTGTATTCGATTAACGTAAAAACCACTTGGCCGATTTTAAAAATTATTTCACCATTAGAAAGGCCTACTAACTTATCTGTGAGTAACATAGAGGCTATATTTTTTAATTTCACGCGGGCGAAGTCGTCTTTAATAATGTTACGTACTAGGAAAGTATCCCGTGCGGCTGGTGTGCACCGTGCCACTGGCCGTGGTCGCTGCCAGCCCCACAATGTACTGGCCCTCGCCGGACACATCATCGAATATTACCTCCGTTGCATTCTGTATTACAAAATTAAATCATTATTTTAGAGCGGGCGACCTTTGACTGAACTATCGCACAACTGTTGCACGATTATCAATTGATCGCAGGTGAATCAACTGTTTAGTCGCACAACTAAAAATCAAATGTGAACCTCCATATAAGCTTATAGGAATCAAAGAACGACTAACAGTTGTGCCATTAGTCAAAGGTAAGCGCGCTCTTAAGCGGTAAATAAGCGACATCTGAATGAAGTCAGTTGGTTTTTAATTCGGTTTTGCTGTTTGGAATAGCTATTTTTGTATTTATTAATAGTAACAGTATATAAACACTCACTCCGGGTACTATAACACTGTACATAATATCAGCATACAGGGACGCATTGTAGTATAGCGGGGTAAGGCGCGGTCGCTTCCAACTCACGAGGACGCGCCAGTTTCCGTACATCTCCGTTACCTTCGTTGACACGTCGCTGAATTTCTCCGGCACTATATACAGATAATTCTATACTAATATTATAAAGAGGAAAGAATTGCATTTTTGAATTTTTGCATGTATATAACTCATTAAGCTATTGGGCCGAATTCTAAAATTCTTTCACCCTTAAAAAATGTTATCAGTAAGTAGCATAAGCTACATGATTTTTTTATTTCACATTTAAATAAGACACTTCTTGTTAATACTAAAAATCAAAAGTTTAGAAGGATGGACGGATGTTAGAGTTTTTAGCCCAAACGTCTGAACGAATCTTGTTGAAATTTGGCATAGTAGAGAACATTCTGGAAGAACACAAAGGCACCTTTTTTAATTCTACGCGGACAGAGTCGAGGGCGAAAGCTAGTGTAACATATATTCATTTATCTCCTCAACCTTTCTCCCGTAGGATCGGCGCGCCGGGTTTCCGTACTCGAAATAACTCTATCATCCGTCATCTCAGTCATCACTCCCTTATTGATGTCACCTTTCACGCAATCCATCCATCTCTTTCTAGGTCTAGCATAGTGTAATAAAAAATATATTAAAGAACACATACGTGGTACACATCCCAGTATATCGTAGCACTCCGGAGTGCGGTACTTCACCAGCGTCTGTCCGTACTTGCCCGTCAGCATGAGAACGCAGATGTCGTCAAGTGGTAGCTTGTCTATCACCACAGAACGGTTGCCATCTGGCTGGAAAGACGTTGGTCTGTAGTGAGCACATACTTGTGCATCACTAGTTGGATTTAGAAAATTTAACTGATATATTACAATAATCGCTGAGAGATTAGTACAATATCTGAAGGTTTCGTTTTATAACTTTCAAAATAGAATGAAACAATAATCGAATGTTATTCGGTGATCTATCGATTACTTAAGTTTACGTAATATTCTTGGGTTCATAAAAATATTTGCTTATCTTTTGACTTAGAACTAGAGCTACCTTCACTTTCTTGTCTTGTCTAAGGCTATCATAATATCTATATCTATACTCTACATTATAAAGAGGAAAGATTTATATGTATGTATTGAAATAACTTAAAAACTACTGGACCGATTTCGAAAATACTTTCACCATTTAAAAGCTACGTTATCAGTGAGAAATATACGTTAAAATTTTTATTTTACAAAGACAAAGTGAAGAAACAGCTAGTTAAGTATATATACATAGTTGTTTACCGGTATACTGTCCGAGAAGAAATCTCCTTGAATGTCTTTGTTGCATTTGTTCACAAAATTAAAGCAAGAATCAGATTCTGAAATTTAAAAAAGTAACATCAATCAGTTAATTTTTTACTTAAGGCATTCATAGTATAATATTACCATCAATAGCATTCCAGGTGAACTCAGCTGGTATATATCGGGTGCCATTCTTGTACTGACGTAACAGCATTTTAGTCTTAACGTCGTAATCAACATGTGGTGGACTGGCCCACACATATACATCTGGACCACGCAGCCATAGTAATGGACTGCCATCGCTAGCCAGTAATGTTGTCCACAGCGTATAGTTCCTAGATGGCGCTGTACTTAATTGACCGATTGTATCGGTACTCTCCAGTATCGTGAAAGATACCTGTTAAATATAGTTAATAAGTTTTGTATGAAATTCATTAATAACCGATGAATTAATTTAAATTTTTATAGCTGTGGTAAGCTGCATAAACTATGCAGGTGTGCCCACCTGAGTGCGACCCTGCGTTCTCTTATGCGCGGTTCACACTTGGCCAGTATTATTGGTCAGTGGCGCTCTATAACTGGACTCTCAATCAACTGGCACAGTGTGAACGGTAACACCAATGAGTCTATACAATCTATAACTGGGCGTTGCAACTGGCCGAAATTACTGGCCAAGTGTGATACGTACGATAAAAATTACGTCGTGCGCTTCACCATCGACTTGTACGAAATTGCAAACTGTTATAAAGTTTGTTAAAATCAGTTAGTTTTACTTGTTTCGGACTCTAAACTATTAATGAATACGATAATGCGAGCTTACCGCACGTTCGAAGTCCTCCTCATGTGGTACCAGGACAACAAGTTGCCAGCCCTCTTGCGACCTCCTCATAAAGGTAACGCTATCTTTACTTTGGCATCTCACTGTTAAAGTCGGCGGTACTGACGTTGTAAGTTTTCGGTAAGGTCCTTTAAAATAAATAATGATTAACTACGTCGAATGCTTAGTGGCCATTTAAATTAAAATTTTATTACTTTAACATTAAACAAATCCCAGAATTGTGGTTTAATAAGAAAAAATGTAATACTTACTCAGAAATTTCTTCTGACAGTACGAGTAAGTGGTTTCATTCTGTAAACTCAAAAAAAATATAAAAACTTAATTGGCGAAGTAATTTATTACACTACTATAGACTTAAAAAAATTACTACTGCTTATAGACACATACATCAGGTTAAAACTATACATGAGTTGTTTAACAATCGACAGAAGAGGGGACGTACAGAAAAAGGACATTTCCTCTTCCTCCAGTATATAAAATTAGGCCACCCGTCACAGTTTTTGCGTCGTAAAACTAGATTACGATGCGTGAAACCGAGCCATCGATAATTGAAGTTATTTTCGCGTGAATGTTGACAAACACGAATACTAGCCTTAACACAATGACTCAATCGCTGCGTATGGAAATGCACTTGGACGTAAACACACCAAGATAGCTTTTATCAACTTCACCTGTGTAACCTTATGAAGATATCCTGCGTTTACACGGAAAAGTATGCTTGAGAATATTTACAAGATAAGTAAAGTTTGAAGTGTTTTCGAGTGGTAATTGAAAATAATAAGCTGTCGAACGAATTTTTCGATATTTTTCTTAGATGTTTCTAGAGATGTAAGTTTATCGATGTATTTATTGTAAGTGTTAAAGCTACTTAATGTACAAACTGTTGGAAATATGCTGTATCATGATTGCTTTTTAAGTTCTAATACACAGATGTTACTTCTAAGTCTCGTTCATCCTGTAGCGGGTTGAATGACTGGCAATACAAAGAAAATTTAGTATGCAGTGTCTGAGATACTGGCCGTATTGAACGAATTTGAATAAAAAAGTTTCTAATACTATGATGCAGGCCGAAAAGAGTAAAAAAAGCTAATGCGGTTATGCAATAATTTGTTTATTGCATCATGGAATATGCAATTTTATTTAAAATCGTTCTTTAATTAAATTATCCAATTTATAAAAAGTTTTGATTGACATTATTATAATTGACTTTAGGTTATAAGTTATTCAACTTGTACAAAAAGTAATAGTTGGATAATTTTAAAGTGAACTAAAGTGCTATTTGTCCTTGTATAAAAAAACTACCACTAAAGATGTTAGTAAAATTGTATTTTAGAGTCCTTATTTATGAACCCTTTTTTGCATAATAGCTGTTTTACAATCAAATAAGTATTGGCTAATGTTTTTTTTATACAACTATTTCTTTCTGAATAGCAACAATCTTTCGAAATAATCTAAATACTACCGATCATTTTTTCAATACAATCGTAAGTAACTAATCATTTCTTTTTTCAGCAATAACGATCAATTTGGATTAGCGATCTATCAATTATGCGGCCTGATTCTTGTTCCGGTCCGGTGTGCGGTGTGATTTTTAACTTTTACTTAGGGTTGTCATCACTTCGTTTGCATATATGGTAGGGCGAGGTGAAGTGTTTGGGCGCCGGACACAAATGGGCTGTCATGCTTTATTTTGTATGAGTTTGTATTGCAGTTAAGCGGCGTCGTAGAAATTTCACCCAGGGCGCCGTTTAGGCTATGAGTTTGACATCTCTAACTTTAGGTTAGAGCGTTGTGACATTAATCACTAGATGTCGCTGTTTTTAGACATTCGACAATGGGTGGACGTTTTGTTTATGGCTGATGTTCAAGTGTTCTATTTTACAGCTGGCATCCCTAATTTCTTTCCATCAGGCGGCGTAATGGCAGTCAATATTTTAGTATATTGATTAAGGATTATCTCGATAACGGGAGCCGCGTATATCCATGTTTTGAACAGCGAGCAAATAGATAACCAAAGGTCATAGCGGATGCAGTTATGAAAATTTACCTTTGTTATTATGTTTTATGCGTTTATTCCTTGAAAGCGGAACTAGTAACGTAAACGGTATGTCAATCAATCATTAAAATTAGAATTGATAATATTAAATCTTTAATTGTTTGTTATCGGTGATTAATAAATAAAAAATTAAACCGATTACAGATTAGGTAATATTTTATAATTTGTTGTCGTTAACGGCTGGGTTTTTTTTTATAACATAAGGTGGCAAACGAGCAAGCGACCACCTGAATCCGCCAAAATGGCGAAGAGACCGCTGCCCATAGACATCCGCGATCGCAGATGCGTTGCCTACCTATATCCGACGGAGGAAGAGACGCACATATAGAGGATATTGTCCCTTCCTATGCATCTCCTCCGCGGTCAAATCCACTTCCCCTTCCCATCCTCTCCTTATGAGGGTGGTAAAGATAAAGGGACTTAAATTAGGCATCCGGCACCGCACTCATCAGACGAAACACGGAATTGCTTCCATTTCACTCCTGTCTTCTGTGTGGTCGTGGTATTACTGGGGGCGTGCCGGCCCTGCAGTGCTAAGATGTTAAAGCGGACACTACCACTGTAAGGGTTCACATTATCACACTTATTCACTTTATCAAATTAGTAGTTAACAGTATTAGATACCACTGGCTCTTGCTCTCGACCACGTCCGCGTGAATTTGTAGACAATATAGCCTATAGCCTATGGTTATTTACAGATAAGTTACCTTTCTAACGGTAAAAGATTTTTTACAATCTGGTAGGTGCAAAAAAAGTAGCTTACTAGTTATTTAAAAATAAATTAAACATAAGAATCGTAACAATTAAGTATAACAAGTTTATTAGACTACCGTGTTGCTAGAGTAATTTGTCAATCGATAATCCTATTGTAAAGACATTTTTAGGCTTGACTATTATTATAGATATACTAGTTGTCGTCCGCGATTCCGTCCGCCCGGATTAAAACAAAGCCTATGTGTTGTTTCAGAGTATGCTCTGCATCATAACAAATTTATTACAGAACCTTTTAACGAACTTCCATCGAAACGTGTAAACTATTGCATTCATAAGATTAGTAAGAAGTAAGATCTTCGGAAACAATAAAATAGTAAATTCATTGAAAGGGAAAAATAATATTAGAGGCCATTGGCCGAGGTTGAATTAACTAATCTATACATATAATAATATTGGAGTGTCACACTTTTAAAATTATTTGTCTGTCTGTCTGTCTGTCCGCAAGCCGCGTTTGTTGCGAGTAATCTCCGAAACGGCTGGGCTGATTTCGACCGGACATTTACTGAAGGGAAGCTGACATAGATGGGCTTATATATGCTCCTTTTTTTTTAATTCGCACTGTCAGCGTAACGGATAGCCCGAATTTGCACTATCGAAGTTTGCGGGACAAGCTCATATGTCATATATCTACTACTTTGTCGTACGATACTAGTATCTCTTGAATTTATAACAACTTTAATAAAAACCTAATTGAATTCAGCGTGGATATTGCACACTCAGGCTATAAATAGAAAATGTTTTATAATAAGTTTTTAGAACCTCGGAAAGAAACAGAGTACGTAGTAATCGTTATGCACTTTAATAAATTATATTTAGTATTCACTAAAAACGTCAATCATATTTATTAAAACTATTATAAAGATAGTAGCTTTAGCCTGCGACTTAGTCCGCGCGGAATTATAATAAAATCTTGTTATATATATCCTTTGTTCTTCCATATTATGTTCTACATCTGTTGAAATTTCATCAAGATCTGTTTAAAGGATACGTAGTAACAATCATATATTTGTGAGTAGAAATAAGTAGTAGTGAGTTTGAAGTAGGAATGCGACTAAATAATACAAGCTATTTTATTTTATTAAATTTAAAATGTGGGTACATTTTATAAAATAATTTTCGATGGTTCTAAACCTAAAATACTTACTGAACCCTATTATGTTATGAATCATACATTACAGAGTTTATTATGATATTTTTAATTTTCAGTAATACTTTTGATTAACAACAATCACTTATCATGAAATTGCAGCTAAGATATTGTATGATTAATATAGGAATTTAATCGTATAGGCTTAAACGAAATGAAAAATTGTCAATTAAACGTACCTCGTCAAAAAATAAATATGAACATACATCTTGGGATAGTTTTGTCTGATTAAATGAAATGGGCAAGTCTCGGCTAAGAATCTCTTCCACTTTACACTTCACATTCACTGCACTTACAATTAAAAATATAAAAACAACAATTCTTAACATTTTACAATCATTCATTGTTCTCAGCGGATTGACTAGTTCAGATTGGTTATTTTTAAAAAGTTTGTTCTCATATTTTTAGGCATTCTGGCATCATAAAACACACAAATTATAAAACAATTAAAAAAATAACATTACTGGCGTTAAAAAAGTGAAATTCGAAATTCAAATTTATAAACGTCAATACGAAAAAGGCGCGCGATTGCGTACGTTTTGAGCCGCTCACACCAATCGCTTCTCGGTACGAACTGGGGCGCAGCGAAGCACTACCAAGCTTACGGCCGAACGTAATATACTTTTCTACCTGACTATTGATACCACACTAACTATATGTATTAGATGAAATCTTTTCTTAATATCGAATGTACACATTATCCTGATTAGTTAATTATTCGTGTTAAAAACATATATTAGAGGTTCTAATAACCTAACCAAGGGTGTCAAAGCATTGGCAAAATGAAATGCAAATCTTAAATTGAAAATTATTACTTACTCTTATCATTTTACTTTATTAAAGATTTTTAGTCTTTGTTTAAACATACCTTTAGCATAGAGGCAGGTCAGATCTCTAGGGACGCTTAAACAAATTGCCCTAAAAATTGCTTTGTATTAAAAAAAATACCATAGACTATGGCAATGTTTTACGAACAGTCAATCCTAATAGCAGTGTTTAAAAAAGCTTGTTCCCTAATACTTCACTCGCGTATCAATGAATGATTCATTTTAAATATTTTTTGGGATAATGGGTCATTATAGTATTAGATTACAGTTGTCCGCTTTGGTTAGATAGCGCAAAAAATTGAACATCTATGACCTATGTTACAGAACATGTTAGACTGTTTTTTTTTTCAAAGAGTAAATGTTATAGGTACATTATAAAGAGAATGTCTAAGATTTCTTTTTTAATTTCAAGTAAACATGGGAAGCGATTTAAATCAATTAATTCAGAGTTACATTTGAAGATTAGTGTGTTTTTATCTCAAAGGCTTTTTTCACATCTCCAGTTTGTCAGAAAAGTTTTTAAGGCTTTTATGAGCTATAACTTAATTTTATTTTGCACATACTAGATATATCTATTACAATAACAATTAATATACAAGCCTAAACCTGTTATTTGTGATTCATATTTTTTAGTTAACAATGACTTATTTACCACTGGTAATTAAAAGTAGATATAGTTTTTTAATTATTTTACCCGCGATCATAATTCGTATAGTTTGTTCAGGTTTTACAATAGCCAATTATGATTAATTTTCATACGTCTATAGGCTTATTATACAAAAAGCGAAATACATTGATAGATTATTAAACAACATTGATAACAAATTTTTTAATTTGTTAACGTCACATGATCCTAAAGACGAATGTACAATGACGGGCAAAATCTTTCTTTTTTTTCTCTCTTTATTTTTTAAAGGGACTTTGGTTCCTTTGAACATGTCAGTCCCATAATATCTTAAACTAAATAACGAAACCATACAATTATAAACGAACACAATACAAAATAAGAAAATGAAATATAAATATAAAACAAAAATAGTTTTAACAAATTGCTATAAAGCCTTTAACACCTTGTAGCGGACTTCGTCCGCTAGGTCCGTCAGTGACTCGGCCAAAGCAGAGAGAAATCCACGAACATGGTGTTTTAGAAGTTTGTGCCTCTTAAACAGAAAATTTTTCTTGAATTGCAAAACATTAGGGGTTATTTTCGATTTTATACATTAAATATCCTTAGTATGATAATAATATAAAACTTTGCATTGTTATCTATTCTTGTATTGACTGTAAATTATCTGTCTTTAAATTAATTGTGACTTGCAATTGTAGGGGCCTTGGGCGATAAAATTTAGAACTTTAACATCAAGGTTTTTTGTATCACTATTAACAGCAGCGTAGCTTGACAAGGCAAAAGTTATCAAAAGAGATATTAAGGGCCTGTCCCATCACTGGCTGATAGAGGCTCAGATAGCTTAAATATGACGTAACTGTCAGATAAGGGAACAAAATCCGATATTTCCATCACATTTACACGTTGGATTGTTATCAATTTACAATTTGGTGGGACAGACCCTTAGACTTGGCGAACTAAAAAAAAAACAAGCAGACCTTTTTCAATCAATCTGTCATTGATTTTAAGCAGCTTTTGTTTAACACCCCTAATAGTGCTTATGCGTGAATAGGAATATAAGCAAGTGTGAAAGAGTCTTTATGTGCAGAGGTCGTCGTGCTGCGGACACCCCACACTCGGCCGAAATGGGCGCGAACCGATCACCGGTCACCTTGTGCCAACGACACTATGTCAAAACTGTCATTCCAAAGATTAACAGCATTCTTTACACTTCATGTTATGTCGAGACGTCGCATATAATTTATATGATAAGTTATTGAAATTGATTTATGTGCGTCTTGTTTTTTTGCTCTTAATTAATTAATCTTATATGTTGAACGACGTCGGTTTGAGAGGGAAAGTTTCTGTCGATATGATAACATAATTACAATGTAAATTGGTTGTTAAGGAAATACAGTTATTAATTATTGGAGATTTTAGAAAAAAAAACATTAAGGGCCTGTCCCACAATTCTTGTAAATTGTCTGATAACAATCCATCGTATAAAATATGTGATGAAAATATCGGACTTTGGTATTCTATCCGACAGCGACGTTTCTTTTAAGCTATCCGAGCTTCTATAAGCCAGTGATGGGTCAGGCCCTAAAACAATAAAACTCTGAATTGCCCGCGTAGCATATTTAATACGACTTTTTTTTAATAATAAGGACAATTTTTTGTTACGGCCAACGACTTGTACAAATGGTTCTAAGTTGTGCATTCACCTTGTGCTGTGAATTCTTTCCCTTATCTTTTTTGCTCAGAAACGACACAAAGAATACTAAATGGAATTTTGATAAGAAAATATAAAAAAAAAACGAATAATTCATAATAACATAGTTCAAGTTTTAAAATAGAACGTGTTGCTAAAATTTTGCATAATACTTTATTACATGCATTGAATAAATTTATTTTCCAGGTGTTATGAAATGAGTTAGGGCTGTCCGTATTTTTCCGTATCCGTATCCTACTTAAACACATGTCGAAATATTAAATCCAATACTTTTTTTAACGAGGGAAGCCTGTAAAAAGTTCGCTTGTTGAAAAGATAGTTATGTAAGTCTTGAGTTTATTCCTACGTTTGCCATTCTTGAGTATTACTTCTAAATTTTAAATGGAAACTGTGTGATATAGCCCTTAGCTTTAGCGATAAGATTTCACTAACTGGGATAGCCTACCAACCCTAGAGTAATTAATAGTAATAATGACATTTGAGTGACGACGTGATCTGTCCGCGACAAGGTGGGCTCGCGGTCGAAATCAGCGCAGCGCCAATGACAAAGTATGTCGCGGTATCGCGCGATCCTAACAAAAAACTCTTGATTTTGAAATTATAATGTGCGTCCGGGCGAGCCGTACGCGAGCCTCATAGCTTTACGATACTATAGCTCGACTAGTTTATAATAATCACTGGTGTTTAATCACAATGTTTTTTTCTACCATTAATAAGTCGGATAAACTTGACACAAAACAGAGCAAGAAATTCTTAGGCAGTTTGGCGAAATTACTTGTTAATATGTAATAAAAAAATGATATAATCAAGATGTCGATGTAAGTTTTGTTTAGTTTATTCTCAACCTGTGTTATACAATATACGATGCTGTAAAGATTTTTTACCACTTAAAGCAATGTTTATAAAAATAAGCGACAATGTGCTTAAAGTTTACCAGTCACGTTATACGAGATTGACCTATTTGAAAATCAAAATTATTGGAACATGCATTATGAATACATGGTCATGTTTCAAACTGAAAAATCCATCACAAATCGTAACTACCATGTAAAGTAAACGATTTTTTTGGGTTTACGTTATTAGAATAAATAAAAAAATAAAACGTATGAATTACACCGAGGTCAATAAAACACATTTTTAAGGAAAAAATTTGAAGTTTTTCAAAAATAATCATGATCACGAAATATTCACCATCCTAATGATACCTTCTGCTTGTGATATTTAAAAGATTCCGAGATTTTTTTAGGACAACGGGCACGAGTACCTTCGACACTTGAATAGCCTTCGAACGTATTTCATCATTAGAACGTTCGGTCGATGAACCTAATGAATTATTCAAATCTATTAATATTTTGCAATTTTGTCATATGATAAGTAACCAAGTAATAACAACCGGGTTCGCTCGGCTGACATTTGAATATTTTCCGACAACTTACAAAGGACATATTATTATAACAAACAATTTTTTGTACTACTTCGACTGTAATTTTTCATGAAGCAGTTTCATAGCTAAGACAAATACAGATAAAGATCTTTATCGTAATACATTTGTTTTTCAAACGCATTTATTCTAACCTTCAAATTGACATCTACTGTTTTATTCACAATGACTTTTATAAGTACACGATTGTACAAACGCAAAAGTTAAAATTAAAACAAGTCTTTATTCCTTGTTTTTATTTGTTATATTTTTTATTTACACAACGATCGAACAGAATATTGCAAGAATAGATTGCATTTCAAGTCTAACAGTTGTTGATTATATACTTACTTGTTTTAATCCTATTAAAAGGGCTGCGTCGTCTATAATTCTTGCTCTTTCATTATTTCAATTCAATTTCATATAAAATTTAAAGATATTGAACTGAAAAATGTTCCATACAGTGCGAGTGAGCCTTAGCCTTTCATGGCAGCGAACTTTTTCTCTTCAACGGTACTTCTAAAGTTTTCGTATGTTTGTTTAAAGGTCTGTCATCTCGCACTTCACTGCATCGATGCGGATTCTTCTTCAAAGTAAAAAACGGACGCCAACAAAAAAATACAATACTGCTGTCACTACGCCAAACCTATTATGAAATGTGTACCCAAGTAATTTAAATGTTCACAGCAGAAAAAGTTGTTAAAAGAAATAAACGATTTAACTATAATGTAAAGAAAACGTGGTGACTGTTAAATAAAATGGATACTTGTAAAAGAAACAAAAAGAAACATTCTACATCGAGTGTTTCCGCGTCGGCGATCTAAATATTTGCGTATTCCTCATACATATCCAATCGGACAAAACAACAACGGCCTGGCCCCGCTCGTATATTAAGTGCGACACACGAATTGCGTAGAAAAATATTATAAGTATTGACATAGTACCTTTATTAATCATAATAATTGTTTGGCGCCTAAACTACGCGCAAAAACTTCGACCAACCGGCCATGACTCGGACGGCAAAAAGTCGAGTGGTATTGAACGCGGTGATATTCTGATTACAATCGTCGGTAGTAAGCTCTGTACGGAATAGAAAAAAGCTTTTAACCGCGATGAACTGATGCACGCCTCGCGTACGCCTCCATCGTACCATTCTTTGTTTAGGAGCCAGGTCAAAGGCTCCTTCTGAGTATATCGAACGTATGCGGAAAAGAAATGCTCGGGAATATTTTAATACTGCGACCACTAAGTTAAGGTTTTTCGTATTTAAACGTCCCTGACGTGAGGGTTAGGACTATCGTAATTTTGAGGTGACATTAGCCGATGCCGTAACAATGTTTAAGTGGTTTTTTACTACAAGTCCTGACATATGAATTGTATAAAAAATCTAATAAGAAAATTTTAAGTTTACTATACTAAATATCGGGTTTAGAATTGCATGTTAAAATGTATAAGACAATAACAAAATTCTTTCATTACGAGTAAATGGAAGTAGTATTGCAGTCCAAGTTTATGAGTCAGACGTACGATAAACGACGTTCAGTAATATCATACATGCACCAGGCCACGTAAAACATCCAATTAACTTAGATACTTCATAAAACGTATAACTTTTTTATTAACTTTGTGATAAAAATACCCATGATCTTAGGTAACATCAGGTCAGATACTCGCCTAATATAAAAAATCGTCTAGAGCTGTGATAACTTTAGAAAAACATAGCAAATGGTACAGAGAAAAAACAAAATAAAAAGGCGGAATTTATCGTAAGATGCAGATCGATTCGCATTGTTAGATAGCTATTGTGTCCTAGTTCGAACTAGTTCTGGATCGAATCAGAAAAAAGGGTCGGAACACCTTTATAAAAACTGTCCTGTTACTTCACCTAACTTTTATAAACTCTTTTTATTATCGATCTCATGTTAAAATTGTGAACAGAACAAATTACATACAATATTACGTGTTTAGACATTTTAAAACTGACGAAATCAAATCATTAAATTGAGTAGATGTTTTGCTTGAATTAAAACAGATGCTTTGGTTCGTTAAGTCGAACATGACTGGAAAAAACTATCTTGGTTTATTACTTCAGACCTGTATCATCGAAGCGTAAAAATTAAATAGCAAAAACGCAGTTATGTGCACAAACTATTGTATTTATATGATGCTATAGTAGTTGAACAAATGCCAATATAGTATCCACTGTTGCGAAATAATGTGAAATTATAAATAAATGTTGGAATCCGTTAACATTTATTACCCATTTTTAACACTCAATAGCTGTCCACTCTAGGACTACAATATCTGTCATCTCCGGTCAATTTTCCTTCGGAAATTTGACGATCCCTTTCTTTTCGCATTGCCTGGAAATAAGCCTTGGTCAGATATTGAAGTTAGTATTTAGTGGTTTTAAATCCAAAATTACTCTGAGATTCCCTAAAAACTGTTAGATATCTGAACTAGCTGCTGATCAAAACATTTGACGCCTGTATCCCACGATAGTTCGGTCGCGTCTTCCACATTCATACACGCATGCATGCTTGTCGATTAGGGTTATTACTAAAGTATAATTTTTAGATAATATAATTTTCTTCTTTTAAAGATTTACAAACTCCACCATACCATAAATCGACAAAACTGCTTCCGAGATGTCTGACATTCCCTGAAGTCTTCGATTAAATCTTGGCATTCACGTAGTCCTCGGTCTAGGCCGTACGCTTCCAAACAATCCATCATTTCCATCTCCTGTTTAGCGCACCGACCCAACATTTGGTGCGAAAACATGGCGCCAGTTACATCCGTCCATGGCGATCGAAAGAACGGAGAAATAAACGCCATAATACAAAACAATTAAAAATTAGTGGAGCAAAATTCTATTACTTTTCCAAAGGTAATATTTCGAATATAAATTGTCAAATGGCACATTTACTTTTAAAGATATGTTGTTATTGTTTGTGGACAGTATTTTTTATCAATTAAAAAAAGACACCATGCAGGATTAATGTCATGAATCTCAATAAATAAAGACCTTCAACCAAAGGACTGTCCTAAATTATTAATGTTTATTGTTTTTTTAATGTTGATAATGACTTATGTACTCATGGGTGTACTGACTACTTAAAGGCTAGCTATCATCTGCAGTTCCTCAGGTGTTAATGGTGTCCATAGATGTCGGATTCATTAATATTAGGTGAAACCCAGCTTGTTTGCTCTTATACAACAAAAAAATACTACACATAATAGAAGTACCAAACCAATATTACAGTTTAAATTTTTTTATTCCAAGAAAACAATATTATAGCACTTAAAATGATCTATTTTGCAATATTTATAATAAGACAATTGCTCTACAAATGATTAATAACTGTCCACTCTTGGGCTGACATATTTGTTATCACCTTTCAATGTTCCATCTGCTATTTGTCTATCTCTTTCCCTCCTCATGGCCTGAAAAAAAACACAAGATATATTAAGATTCCCTTCAAACATTTGCAATTTTTTCTCATATGTACTTTACTAACTATAAATGGACATCATCTGAATCAGTAAGTGATTAATTGTGCTGAAAGGACTTGCCGGACACAGCTAATTTGACTATATTTATGTCTAGTCTGTCTGTCTGTCTATCTAGTATTTGTAATCTCTATAAATCACAAATACTAGATCTTAAAGATCTTCAGCATTACTTTACCATAGTATATACTCATAATTATTTCAAAATAAAAAAAATAACACACCATAAATCTTTTAAATTGTTTAGTATGGGTCTGACATTCATGGAAATCTTCAAATATTTGTGCACATTTGACTCGGCCTCTGTCCAATCCATAGGCCTCTAAGCAATCCATGTAACGTATTTCTTCTTTCTGGCACTTGCCTAACATCTGGTGGGATATCATTCCACCAGTGATATCAGTAAACGGGGCCCGCAGGAATGGTGAGATAGACATTGTTTATCTAAAAATGCAACCAAAGTGAACATAAAAATAATCGCTTGATAGTTGTTAAATGGTGCGAAACAGTTTACAACACTGTTACAAGTAAATAAATAAAAAATGAAATAAAAGCGCCTATAAATAGACAAATACAAACAAGATAGGTTAACAATTACGTAAACTAATTCACTTTGAGAAACAAGAAATTAAAAATGTCTTTCAATTGTTTCGTTATTACATGATGAATTAAAAACTGACCACTTTAGTTAAGAAAATATACCTTCTATTACGTTCGAACTAGAAACAAAAGATCGTCGGAAATTATCGAAACAAGAACAGATTTTTATTTTTTTCAATTGGTTGTCATTTTACTTGTCAATGTCAATATCAACGTTCATCATCAAGCATCGTCTTTAACATCTGTTTTACCATGTTCAGTTTTTATCAATTAGTTTTAATTATTCCGCTCCAGCATATTAAAGCTAAGTAAAATCTAAATTGGTAATCTAATTATCCTGGTTTTTGGTATTTTTGTGGCTCAATGATATAAAACACTCAAAAAACATTACTTTAAAACTTGATAACAAAAAAATTATGATTACCAACATAATAATAACAGCGAAGACGAAACGAAATGTCAAATTGTCAATCGCCTTCACTCAAATTAAATCAGCTGTCGATTTTTCCTATATGAATAATTCTTCTTTAATGTTTTTACACGCAAACAAAATGGATTTTCACAAACTCTGCTATCTTTAAATCAATAAATCTGAATAAAGCTAGCAAAGTGGTGTTAGTATTAGGCGGTGGTCTGTGCCGATGGGGTATCGGGAGTGAGAGACGGGACAGCGGCGGCAGCGGGCGCGGCTCGGAGCCCCAGGCATGCGGCGGCATGGCCGGCGAGGCTGCGGGCACGTCGCGCGGCCTCCGCGTCTACAAGATCGTCGTGCTCGGAGACGGCGGCGTCGGCAAATCGGCGGTGACGCTACAGTTCGTCAGCCACAGTTTCCTCGACTACCATGACCCGACTATCGGTAACGTATCTCGTTCAAAAGCTAGCTGAACAAATGAAAGTTAAATGTGTAATTTGATGCAGTATTAGAAATGTGTAGTATACTTTGGAAATATTGGCAAGCTTAAAGTGCTTAAATTATTTGATTTACACTTTTTAATAAGTTTAAATCAAGCTATAGGCAACATTTTAAAGGTTAAAACTTGCTTACATTTTATAATAGGCTAAGGAAAAGTGTTTTACGGAATTTAAAACATCATTTATTATTAAGGTACAACTTTGATAGAATTAGCTTTGGTTTATATACAATTATAAGCTCATTACTACCATAAATCCTTAGTAAAATTATTTCTTAAATGATCTTTTAACTCCTTTGTGCATAGTTTGTAAGAGAAACATTAAGAAGTGTAAATTAAATATGCATGTTTTCATACTTTTGTTTTACAGAGGACTCTTACCAACAACAGGCTGTCATTGATGGGGAACCTGCATTGTTAGACATCCTAGATACAGCCGGCCAGGTATGTTCATTACAGTTTTTAATGTAAGTAATATAAAATTTTTATTTTACTAGCTTTCAAGCTTAGCCGTTTAAGCTACAAACTGTAACAAACATCCATCCATCTAAATATTCACTTTTATAATATTAGTAAAATAGTTTAAATATACATTGATTTAAAATTTTCATATGTAACTATTTGTAGGTGGAATTCACAGCAATGCGGGAGCAGTACATGCGTTGCGGCGAGGGCTTTGTGCTATGCTACTCGGTGACTGACAGGCGATCTTTCCGCGCTGCTTCAGAGTACAGGAGGCTGTTGGCACAGGCGCGACCCTCGGAAAGGCTGCCTCTAGTCCTTGTTGGCAACAAACTGGATCTAGCGCCAAGGTTTCGACAAGTAAGTATTATATTCAAGAAAGTAGCCTATATTTATATATTAAATTGTAAATAGCCTTGCAGGGGTGAGTAAATTGGTGAAACCGTGTGCCAGAAAGGGAGAAAAACTACAAGCCAATGCCAGCAAAGCATTAAGGTTGCCATGGTTACTTATTCTCAGTCAATAGCAAAGGCCTTATTGACATTTCCACAATTGTATTTTGACATTTGGAATTGAGAGTTTTGTGCAATTTAAACAATATTTCTTTTTATAACTTAATGTGGATGAGGCAACACACAAAACAGCTAGTGTAATTAAACGAATAACAGTCAATTACTCTTCAAAACTCCTCGGTTTTACCATACCAATTAACCAGTTTGTTAAAAAAACTAAATAAAACAATGTTGATAGGTGACAACAGAAGAAGGCAATGCATTGGCCACTCAGCTCGGTTGTCCATTCTTCGAGACGTCGGCAGCTTTGCGTCACTTCGTTGACGACGCATTCCACGCGCTGGTGAGAGAGATACGACGTCTAGAGAGACAGAGACAGGTAATTCACATATTCAGCACCAACTGGTAACTCAATTATTGACAGATTGACAAATCAGCTTGCAGTTCATATGTGTACAGCCCTATTTGTGCCTGTTAAGGTATGCATTTTGAACTCACATATTTAAAGTATTTTGAGCTGTGACATGCAACTTTAATTGTTGTGCTACAGCTCAATGGTTATGGTCTATGTGACCTGAATTTTTAAAGCTGTTTTGAGTTAATTTATACTCTTCTATTTAATAATTATTTTCTATATAGTTGTTATTGGTATAATATAAACAAAATAAAATTATTTCCAGGCATCATTGATGGGTACTGGTATATCGACGAGCGGTGGGCGGCGGCGCTGGCGGCGTCTGCGCAGCATCTT